AGAATAGAAAACGGAATTACATAAGATGGAAATGAACCTTTGGGGAGGTATAATAATCTTATTTTTAACTTAATAAGTTTGAAATGAGTGGTCCTCAATATGTGTTCTATGGACCAACCACTTCAGAATTACCAAGGGCATGTGTTAAGATTGCCCAACCCTGACCCCCACTCCAGACTTACTGAATCACAGTCAAACTTAATCATTTTTATTTTTACCTCTTTTTAACTTTTGTGCCAGCATATGTGCATGCTGACATTTTAATTATTGTTTTAGAATGTTGGCAGTTTGCTTAATGTTACTGATGTGAGTGAAAATTACATATTATTTCTTTACAGAATCTTGTTTTTTCATTTGAAAATAATGAAGTCATAGCACCAAAAAAATGATCATCTATATATTATAAATAAAATTTAAAAATAAATGCTAAAGTGGGGAATAGTTATAACATGGCAGATAAAAGTTTATATGTTCTCAGTATCAGAGAGAATATTTTAAAGTCAATAAGAAAATGTCAAATTTGAAATATGCAAATTGCTAAATGACATATGGACACATACAATTTACAAATGAAGAAGTAAAAATGCTCGATAAATTTATGAAAACATGTTTAATATTAGAAAAGAAGTACAAATGAATGTTGCTCATTAACATTACAGATAAATAATATGTTTATATATATTTTGTTATACATTGTATGTATTATATATATTTATATGTATATTTCATATATGTACACACATATATATATGTGGAAAGATAATACTTTTACTTGAGGCTGCAACAAAATAGGTGTAGTTATTACATGTCATTGGGAGGACCATTAATTTGTTCATCCTCTTTGAGGGCAGAGTTCTAATATAGATCACAAATTTTAAGACTGCTCCTCTATTGACATGAAAAATTTTCACAATATATTCCTATGTGAAAAGGGGTTATAATATTGTCCAAAATTTGAACAGATAATATTATACATGCGTGGATATAAAGAAAATGGCCTAGAAGACTATTCATCAAGGTGATAGTGGAGGGTAGTTCTGAATGGGTAGAGTTTATTCAGTGCTCTCAAATTTTCTGATAGGAAATGTTGTTTTACTAATGATAAAAAACTTAAAATATTAAGAAAATAGTTTTTAATTTTCAAAAACTTCAGATTTGAAAGGTATAAATGTGAGAAACAAGAACAGGGTGTGAGTTGATGATAATTGCTATTAACTTCAAATAAATGAATGCTTCAAATAAAATTTCTCAAGATTCCACAACTGAGATAGTGCTAACAAGGAAGATAATTAACTTGACCAGTATATACCCTCCTGATTTCCGTATGCTTTGTCTTTTACTATTTTCTTATAATCTTTTTCTTTCTCTCATGCTATAAGTCTTCATAAGTTTTTAGTGACATTACCTGCATTACATGTGACATCTCTTGCTAAAGAATGGCTAACCTTTTTAAGTGCTTGCTTCATACGCAGTCTTTCATTTATTCTCCAAAAATGGTTCTAGTGCGTGTTTAATCGTGGCCACAAGAAGCTGTTAATGTGATAAGCTAATATCACTTCTGTGCCAGGCAACTTAGTCTATGAAGCCATTATCAAAATTGGGTAATTTTGCTTGCTGTAGATTTTTTTTTTTCAGTCAAATCTCCAAGAGTGCACTGGTTATTCAAGCCTTAATTATCATGAAAAATTAAAAACAGTAAATATTGACAGAAACATTATATTTGGGAGAATTTTATAACTTCCTGATTTAATGTAAAAGCTTTTTCTTGTTCATAAGTCTTCAATTTGACTCTCCATTGTAGTTATATATACTTTAATTATTAGCAATGGAAAGAATGAGCGAAAAGAGCAGGGAAACATGTGACATCTTTTCTCAATTGTGTTCTTCTAATTCACATTTTAGAAGTCCAAATACATCCCAGACATGGAGAAGGGGTTTCACTTCTGGCAGGCATTAGAAGCTCACTGGCAAGCCAGCCCCAGCTGTTCAGAAGCCTGCCAGTAGATTGTTTAAAGTTTGTAGGCCTCGAGGAGCAGCTGGGATTTACAACAGCACTCAATTTCAGATTTTACATTTCATCTGAAATACATTTATATGATTAAGTATGTTAACTTCCAGCTAGCCAGAAAGCCTTAACTCGTTGTTGTGCAGTACGTTATATGTAGGATGACCACATACTGTATTAGCCAAACCAAGACACTTTCACAATGAAAGAGGACGCTATTAATAATTTCACTAGGACGGCAGGTGTGAACCAGACTGTCGTTTCTGTTGGCTTGAAGCAAATCGCTACTCAGATTATTTAAATGGCTCAACCTACAGAATAACATCACCACACCTATTAAAACATCATTTATCTATAACAGACCACCTCTAAACTTAGTGACTTAAAACAATTACAATTTTATTAATGTTTATGATTTGTTGGGATGGGCAGGAAGGCTAAGAGGCGTGGGACAGCTTGCCCTTCACCATGTAGATTCTCCTTCACAAATTGTTCATATTCCACATGTAAAAATATGCTCATCTTCATCTTAGGTTTCTAAAAGTTTCATCCCAATCACAACAGTAGGCCCAGACTTCAGGATCCTGTCCTCTGATCTAAATCAGGTCTAGGTACAAATGAAGCTTCTTGTATTTTGGTCCTTTTTGTGGGTTCTCTTATCTGTTCCCACATATTAAACTAAGTATGGTGGAGCAGGGTCAGAATAATCACCATCAACATTCCCATTCAAAATGGGAGGAATAGGAATTATATGACTCTGAATGGTTCATAAAAATTTTGAATTCCCATTGGACATATGTTGTCAGGCCACCTACAGGGGGCGGGGGGCAATGTTTTTGAAAAGGGGCCTAGTTCTCTTATGCTTCTGGCTCTGCTCTCTGGACTCTTGCTCTGTCCACAGTATCATAGTTAAATAGCTTTCTCAGCCTGGTTTCTTCTTGTGGAAAGTTGGGGACCAAGCTAAGTTTCATTTGGAAGTGTTCCAATTAATCCAGCACCCTTAGAATTTTTTAAAATTTTTCTATGTATCAGATTATAGTCTACTCTATTACATAAAGGCCCCACTCACAAGTCTTTTCAAAACAGATCTTCCCCCTTCAGTGGTAGCGTATCAAAGAGCTCTGGGACTAGTTCCTTTTATCAAGACAAGATGGTCTATTGGACTCCAGTTTAGCTCATTTAGATATATTTTTTAAAAGTTGTTACAACCACACATTTCAGTTGATCTTTGACTACCAGCCTTATTTCACTTTTGAAATCTTTTACAAGCAAGTCTTAGTCTTGTATCCTCTGTGTTTTCTTTAATTTTGCTCACATACTGAACATTTTCTTCTTTAGCTGATCCTGTATTAACTTTATCTTACATCTATGAAGCCAGTTTACAGGGCTTACAAATGTTTTGTTAAATATGTCCCTTTGGATTTCATGCTTTGGAATTCTATTATAAATGAGTTGTGTATTTTATTTCATTTTCAGTTGTTCATTGGTAGTGTATAGAGACACATTTGATTTGTGTATATTAATGTTATATTCTGGGATCATGTTAAATTCACATAGTTTTTCTAGTGGATATTTTTTTTGTAGATTCCTTAGTATTTTCCATGTACATGATCATGTGTATACAAATAAAAACAATTTACTTCTTCCTTTCCAATCTGTATTTCAGTTGTTTTTTTCCTTTTGCTTGCCTTATTGTAATGGCTAGGATCTTCAGTATACTATAGTGTTGAATAGAAGTGGTGAGAGTAAATATCGTTGTCTAGTTTCCAATTTTATTTATTTATTTTTAAATATATTTTTATTGATTTCAGAGGGGAAGGGAGAGGGAGAGAGAGATAGAAACATCAGTGATGAGAATCATTGATCAGCTGTTTCCTGCATGCCCCCTACTGGGGATTGAGCCTTCAACGCAAGCATGTGCCCTTGACCAGAAGGAACCTTTCAGTCCACAGGCCAATGCTCTGTCCACTGAACCAAACCAGCTAGGGCTAGTTTCCAATTTTAGGGAAATAGCACTAAATCTTTTTCTGTTAAATATGTTGTTAACTTGGGTTTTTTTATAGATGACTTTTATTAGGTTTAGGAAGTTTCTTACTGTTCCTAGTTTATTGGGAACTTGTTGTGAATGGATATTACCATATGTAAATTATACCTCAATTAAAAACTGATTTAATAAAAACAAAAACATTACATACACTAAAACGTGAACAGAGTAACATTGGCTCACATCAGTTGTTTTTTTTAAAAAAACAACAACACTGTGTAGCCCTAGCCGGTTTGGCTCAGTGGATAGAGCATTGGCCTGTGGACTGAAGGGTCACAGGTTCTATTCAAGCCAAGGGCACATGCCTGGGTTGTGGCCTCGATGCCCAGTAGGGGGCGTGCAGGAGGCAGACGATTAACAATTTTCTCTCATCATTGATGTTTCTATCTCTCTATCCTTCTTCCTTCCTCTCTAAAATCAATAAAAATATTTTTTAAAAAACTGTAAAGTTTAAGAAAAACTTTAGTCACGGCTAAAAGATTATTTTTAATATTAGTCAACTATAATATTAAAGGTATAATCAAAATGTTTGTTAAATATTTTGCTTTCAGAAACAAAGAAAAAGGAAAGGAATTGTTAACTTTCCTTTTTGTAAGCTCATTTAATACTCAGAACTCATATTTTTCTATGTGATAAAACTCTGCCTGTAAAATCTGAACTGAGCTTTTCTAGTTAGCACCACTGAGAAATGTTCATTCCTTTTATTCCCCCCAGAATAAGGCACAATGTTTTTTAATGTTTAGTAATTATTTTTCTTATTTGGCATATAAATACTATAGATATAGTCTATTTAACACTAAATATTGACTCTCTAGGTTGCTTCTTAATCAGTTTTACAATATTTTATTTCCAGTTCTATTCTTATTATATAAGTAAGGAAACTGAGGCTTAGAACAAGTATATGACTTGCCTTTAGTTATTTTTATATCTCTGGTAACTTTTTTAAAATAGGAGTTACTTAAAGATCCGCTGTACATTGGACTCCGGCAGAGAAGAGTGAGAGGTCCTGAATATGATGCTTTTTTGGATGAATTCATGGTGGCAGTTTCTTCCAAGTATGTATAGTATTTATTTTACCTATATTTGAGTTGAATTTGAAAAATTTAATGGTAACCTAACATAATGAAGTATAAAAATATCCAAGTTTTGTGCTATATGCCCAATAATTGGAAGCAATTTGAATAAAATACATGTGCATATATACTCATAGCAGTTAGTGGCCAAGTGATATCTTCATGTGTTTATCCCCTAAAAGGTTGTCTTTGTTGCTATTCCTAAAGAAACTTTTCTCTTATGATTATTGGCAGTCTGGCTAATAAATCTGATCTTTGATTATCTTTTTGGATGAATCTGACCCATTTGTGGTAGGAAAAGCAGAGGAAGAAGTGAGCATGAGTTAGCGCAATGCACAAGGTCCAGAATGGAGCAAGGACCAGGACATCCAATCACAATCTGTGAATCTCTGATTAAAAATAAGGTATTCAATTAAAGTGCAGTGCTATATTTTACCTAGTCTAGGTAGTATTTAACTGTGGGCCTAGTGCTACTGTAAAATTTTCCAGTTTTTTTCTTTCAAAGAAGCCACTTCTGCCATAAGTTAGTAATATATTCTAGGAGAATTTTGTCTCACTAACAGTCATCCCATTTGTTACGGTATAGCCACAGAAACCATGTACTATTTAAACACACGTATGTTGCCTTGGTTTCTCATGGAAATAAACTCATCACTAGAATCAACTCTAAATGGAGACATCCTTCTGGTTTCTTTTTATTATAAGGTTTGATTTTAAGAAGTTGAATCCAATAGCAAAAAGTACTTCCACCAGCTTGCACAATATTTAGAATAAATGGAATCTTTCATTACCCAAGGTTTTAATGCAGAGTATAGTTGGCAAGTAGTATAGACTACTTTTTAAAAACCCATGCCTGATTTATTATTACTTATTAACTTAATTAAACTGTACTTATTCATAGAAGTAGTTGAGAAATTCCACAGTTTAAGTTCAAGATTGCTTAATACAGTTAAATGTTAGTAGTTTTTCCTATTTAATTTTAAATGTCTTACCCTAAAACTTATGTAAGCTTTTGAAATTATAACTTTTCAGGTAGCCACATTAATCAAGAAATTATATAGAGAATACGATGAGACTATATAAAAGGAGAAATTCTCTATATATTTGTTTTTATTGTCTATTTGTGCAAATCAGGGGTGGGGGATGTCTGACCTATGGGCCATTTAAGGCCTGAGAAATCATTTGGTCTGGCCCTGCCAAGGCATTAGGAGTGAGTTAGTGAAGTGCTTGACCAAATATAGCAGGCTAAGTTTTAAGTTGATAATTTTGTATGGCCTGTGGATGATGTTACAAATATCCAAATGGCCCTTGGCAGAAGAAAGGTTCCCCAACCCTGGTATAAGCGAACATGGTTTACAATTCTTTTCTTTTAGTTGCTTTTCTTTCCTAATCTTATCTTATTATATTCATTAATTCTGATTGCATTAATTCAAAATTCCTTTAATGTGCTTGTAAATTTTTTACACTGGTTTTATTCTTTTTGTATGAGTCTTATTGAAATGTATTATTCCGTGTGCCCTATTTTTCTTACTAGAATGTAAATTGTTTCAGCAAAATAACTTTATTACAAGAGATTACTTTTTATCTATCATACATTATACTGTAGCACATAGTGGGTATAAAGAAACTACGTTGAAAGCATTACTTAAACATTGAATGCAACCTTAATGAAACCACAGTGCCATGCATCTGAAGCAAAGGTGGTTCTCTAATGAAAACTAGAGAAGCACACAAGTTTCCAAATAAAGTGGCTCTGCTTATAGTAAACTAAATATTTGAGTTTTAAATATATACATTGATGTGTTAGAATTGATCTTTTCTCTAAAGAAGAAAAGTATTTTAGTAAATTACTATTGCGCCCTAATCGGTTTGGCTCAGTGGATAGAGCGTCGGTCTGCGGACTCAAGGGTCCCAGGTTCGATTCCGGTCAAGGGCATGTACCTTGGTTGCGGGCACATCCCCAGTAGGGAGTGTGCAGGAGGCAGGTGATCAATGTTTCTTTCTCATCGATGTTTCTAACTCTCTCTCTCCCTTCCTCTCTGTAAAAAATCAATAAAACATATATAAAAAAAAGAAAAGAAAAAAAAGAAATACATTAAAAAAAAGAATTCCTTCTAAAAAAAAATTACTATTGCAACCATTATTACCTATCATTTTCTTTTTGAATCAGCAAACAATGAGATAAGAGGAATTCCTTAACATTTTATGAGTTTTAAAGCTAAATTATATTTATTAAAGATAATAGTTACCTTTGACAGTGACCTATATACCATGCTTCTTGTATGTGTGTGTTCTTTGCCTTTTCTCTTGACTTTCTTTTTTTTTTTTTGAGAATCAAGAGTATGGTTTTATTTATTTATTTATTTTTTCCTTAAAAACTTGTTTCTTATTGTTTTCCATCTATCTGTACCATATATAATAATTTAGAAAATAAGAATGAATATATCTGCTCATTAGTAATATTAAAAAGGGAAACTCAATATAAATTTATTTCATTATATCCGGAAATTAATCTAAAAACAAAAGCAAAAAACACCAGTAGCAATGTCTTGTGGGTCAAAATAAGGTCCTTTGTTCAAATTATTGTTCTTGCCCTCCTTAATTTATGTGCATTTATAAACAAAGATGAAAAAGGTATGCACATATGAAAGTAGTTTAATTCTTATTTTTAAAGACTATCGAGGGCATGAGTGGGGGGAGTTTATGGGGGGATGAGGTCACATATGTAATACCTTAATAAAGAAATTAAAGATTGAAAAAAAATAAAATAAAATAAAAGGGGGAGGACATCTGTAATAGTCTCAACAAAAGATAAATAAATAAATAAATTTTTTAAAAAAGAAACAATAAAGACTATCAGTGTGGCTGATTTGATGGGGAAATAGTATAACAATATTTGAATGAGATATATATTATTTTATCATTGGAGATTAAAGATGAAAGTAAAAGGATAATTAAGAAAAGGATATTAGAAAGTTGGTTGAGGGTAAGTTCAGAAATTTAAGGGGACTTTTTTCAATTCAGCAATCCCTTATAAAGGCATTCTATAGGAAATGTGAGATCTAATTTGCAATTAATACGATATCTTGACCTATCCTTATTGTTGATGATCACTACCTTTCAGATAGTAATGGTGGGAGTCCTTATAGTGGCCCCTCACGACCTCTGATGCACTCGGCTGCAGCCACACTCTCCGCACTTTGCTGTCAATGAACTCTTAAAGCATGTTTCCATCTCAGAGTATTTGCTCTTGCTCTCCCCTGTCTGAAATATTCTACCCCAAGAAATCTACTTGGTAAATGACCTAATTGTTGTCAGTACTTGTTGAAATCTCACCTTCTTCTGAGGCTTACTAGTATCCAGATTCTCCATATAATACTGAAATCTGCCCCTTCTTCTCCCCATGCCTGGCTCTCCTGATACTCTTGCTTTGCTGTACTTTTCTTATTTTATAATTTTATATAATTTATTCATTTATTACATGTTTTGCTTACTGTGTGTCTCTGATAATAGAATATGTATTTCCTCAAGGACAGGAATCTAGCTTGTTCATTTTATAAACAAGTTTCTATGTCAATTCCTGGCACAAAATACTTAGATATGCAATATATATTTGTTAAACTGGATTGAGCTACTCTAATGGAGGCCACACAAGAGAATGTGAGTGGATTGGCAACAATCTTTCACCATACTAGAAAATTAAAGTTTAAATATGTCCTACATCTGCTGAGTTACTACCATCATTTTCATGTAGAAAGTAGGAAAATAGGGATGTGGTGAGGGTGAATACCTGATTTTCCCAAGTCTAACAATAAACAGATTATCCCTTGAGGGCTAAGAGGTTCTGAAGTCAGTATGTTACATAAAGTAATCTAACTACATTTAATGCAGGTTGGCAGTAAATATTTTCTGAGCTGATAGATTTCAAAGTCCCATTATTTAAAACTATAACAAAATTTATATAAAATTTGCCACAATCAGGACATAAGAACAAAATAATCATTCATATTGCCAAGATGATCACATTCTGGCTAGCTTAGTTTTCCATCATTTGACTGTTATTTTTATTTCACAAATTATAAAACAAGCCAAAGCTGACACAGCATGTAATGATTTTGATTTAACCATCATGTAGTGATTAATTCTTAAGACTTTGTTGTGGCATCCACAGATGGTGACCCAAATTTTTTTTTTTACATCTTCAATAAAAATAAAACCACATTCTACAGTATAGGTGGCAAAGACTGCCACATATATGAATAGAAACAAAATAAGCAATTGTTATTATTCTTAACCAATATGGTTAGATTTGGATATGTAAAAATTAGAATGGAGAAAAGGCTCAGTCTTACTGAGCACATATTAGAGTGGTGTTGCCTGGATAGGTTTGTAGTCCATTTCTACCGAGGCCTTATAGAATGATGTTTCTTACTTCATGGACTTCACAATGGTTTGGGATCTGACCCTCAGTCTGGGAAGTTCAGAACCATGATTTTGTCCGTGTACAAGGCCCCTGTCTCAGGGACATGTGATAAGCAAAACCTGGGTTTTGAAGTCAACCTTTGGCTCCATCAACTACTACATTTGCAACCTTGGGAAAGTTGCTTACCTCTCCAGAAAAAAAGTGAAAAATAATAACAGCACCTACTTCATAGGGTTGTTGTGATGATTGAGATTAAACATTAAAAAACAAAATTACTTTTGTTAAGTGATACAAATAGTAAGTACAATTTTTTTTCCCCAAGGGAGGATGATGAGGGCCAGTAATTTAATAAAAAGTTATAGGTTGCCAAATTTGCATTAATGTTAGAGAGAACACTTAATAGTTGGAATTGTTCAGAAATAAAATAATGTATATAAAAGTACTCATGCCCTGGCCAGGTGGCTCAGTTGGTTAGAGCATTGTCCCATACACCAAAAGACTATGGGTTTGATTCCCAGTCAGGGCACATACCTAGGTTTCGGGTTCAATCCCTGGTCAA